GCGGGCAGGGGGGCAGTTAGGGGCATCAGGCAGGCAGGCAGGTGAGCAGTTAGGAACCAGCGGTCCTGCATTGTAAGAGGGATGTCTGACTGGTGGTTTAGGCCCAACCTTCAGGCAGTTAGACATTGCCCGAGGGGTCCCAGATTGGAGAGGGGGCAGGCTGGTCTGAGGGGACCTGTCCCCCCCTCCCATGTACAAATTTGGTGCACCGGGCCTCTAGTCTATGCTAATAAAAGGGTAATATGCTAATTAGACCAGGTTGACCTCCTGCCGCCACCACTGGTCGTCATCTGTGGGGTGATTGGTCAGGGCTGGGCCCCCTGCCTGGCTCTTTCAGTGCCTGGAGCCATCTGTGGAATGATCAATAGGGTAATCAGTCCCCTGCCTACACCTGCCTTGGCCTGGCACCACCTGCTCACTTGCTCCGCCATCCTGCCATGGTCCCTCTCACCTTGCGGCCTATCAGGGCTGGCAGCGCCTCCACTGCCGCATGCTGCCAGCGCCATATCGCCGATGGCCACCATTCCCCACCACCCCCCCCTCGTGGTCAGTGCACATCATAGCAAGCGGTTGAACTCCTGGTTGGACAATTTGCATGTTAGGCTTTTATTATATAGGCTTACTTAAAACTTTGCAACCTGTCAGTGAAGTGATAATTGTGTAAATACTATAGTTTTATTATAGAAAAAATATGGTATGCCTAAGATAAAACTAATTAGACTCTTTGTTTTAATATTTGCAACTATTATAATTTGGTGTGTGTGTGTGTGTGTGTGTGTGTGTGTGTGTATGAGGAGAGTGAGAAAGAGAGAGAGAGGAAATAGATGGGGAATTATTGCATACCTGCAGTATTAGTCATTAAAAAATTCATATGCTGTACTTAAATACAAGAATTCATCAGTTTATCATAATTAGTGATATAAAGTTCCAGTGTTTTGTTTTGTTTTCAGATATACTGACAGTCAGTGCTCGTCACCTGGTCTATAGAAAAGCAATTTGTTTGAATTTAGTACATTATAGACAGCAGAAGTTTTCATCTGTTGAAAGCAAGTTAATATTATCAGAAGAATCTAGGTTTACATAAATGGAAAATTGTCTAATTTAGCCTACTGCCATAAATTTAGCTCCACCCCCTTTTCCTCAATCTCCTTTTGATACTAACTTTTCATATATTTACTGATTATTAAAACTTCTACCAAGGTTTTTGTATTAAAAGATATGGGAGATATTGGCTTTCTTTAAAATAATAGGTCAAGAGATAAATCAACAGAAAAATTGAATTTTGAAATTTATATGTTACTGCTATTTATTTCCTCTGTGAGATGTAGAATTGGATATATTAATGTATACTTAAGAGAGCTCTCTTAAAGCAATATTTATAAGTTTAATACATTTTGAAATTTAAATACCTTGTGGATCCTTATCAACTAGACAGTTTATTTGCTTCTTCTTTACACTAAATCAAAATTCATAGCAGCACAATTTACAATAGCTAAGATTCGGAAACAGCCTAAATGCTCATTAACAGATGAGTGGATTAGAAAACAGTGGTATATCTACATAATGGAATACTATGCTGCTGTAAAAAAAGGAAGGAATTCTTACCATTTGCAACATCATGGATTGAACTGGAGAGCATTATGCTAAGCGAAATAAGCCAGTAGGAGAAAGATAAATATCACAGAATCCCATCCATTTGTGGAATATGATGAACAACATAAACTGATGAACAAAAATAGAGCCAGAAGTATCAAACAGACT